CCCTGCACAATGGTGGACTAAAAGCGCAACGTCACGGCCCATGCGTTTGGTTGGAGGAGAAAAAACACACCCACAGAAAAATCCGACGAGCGCAGTGACGTTGCACTTTCGACGCTGTTTGATTGGCTCGTCGGCTCCTAGCGTTGGGCGCGCTTCAACGTTATGGAATGACTTGCACGTTTCACGATGTCAGTTGTTCCGCCATTGTGCAGGGGTTCCGTCCTTTTAATATTCGGCACGCGAATTTAGGAGGGAGTCTATATTGTCGCATGGCTATAAATAATTACCTAACTTTAATACTTAAAGTGTAAGCTTAAAAATCATTGAAATTGTGCGTAATGCCGAGTAAAAGTTATTTTACTCCGCAACCAAGCTTGCCGTTTTATAACGCACACTTGACAAAATTCAAGCTTTATTTTAGCGATATCAACAGAGTATTGCATCGTACATTCATATTTTATACTAAACCATTATCATATCTTGCTACTAATAGAGATAGTAAAGCAAATAAAATAGGATTTTTCTAGAAAATCGATCTCGAATTCGATAGATTTTTTAAACATTTGCTCATTCAAATGTATATAGAGAAATTTATTTTTTAGATATAAATTTGAATCTATACGCAATAAAAATAGCTAAGTTTAAGCTTTTTGATGATATCAAGGTCACTAAAATATTTGAAATATATCACACGTAAAAGCTTGGCAAACTTTGTCAAAAATCATCAGAAAGCTATGTTCGACATTTCTTTTACAATTAGTTTAAAATACAAATGTTTTTTTTTTTATTAAGTCTAATGGCATTATTTTAAGTGTCACAAACAAGTCCTAGTGCAGTAGATGGAGAGTGACAGAATAGCGAGCGGTCAAATATATGTGATCCCCGACAGGTGAGAGAAACGTCGAGTTTTCGCCTTGACCACTTCAATGATCGGTAATTTGAAAACAAAACATCCGTCATGCTTGCCGTTAGCACTGTCTTTCATTTCAAGAATGGTTCCCGAACATATATGTGGGAGAATGGGGGGGGATGAAAAACCCGACCTCTAAAGTGCCTCAACTGAGATGAAAACATGAGTATTGTTCTCCCAAAACGCGATCATCACGCGTGCGAAGGGCGGGCGAGCGGGGGCTGGGACCGGCGGAAGGTGCCGGGTGCAAAGACGCGCAAATAGCGCCGCAAAACGTGTCCAGGGGCGCTCTTGTGGAAAAGGCCACTCGGCGAGAGAAATACCAAAGAGGAAGCTGTCATCGAAACGATTGTGAACATTACGCGCGAGCCCTGTCCGAAATAAGGTCGACCTGAGCTTGCTCGCCCTTCGCACGCGGAAAGCGACACGACGCCACAGTCTCCTTAATTAAGAGGGACGCCTCCGTTCCTCCTAAAGAGCATCCAGAATGGGAGGGGTCCAGAATAACGAGGCCAAAATTCCTGCATTCACTCACCCCGTCGCCGAAAATATGTTATACACGAAAGTAACTACTATCTGATAGTTACATCAAGGGTGTCCTAATCCCTGAAATGGATTGCTAAAATAATTTATTTTTACTTTTTTTTTTTTTGGGGGGGGGGGGGGGGGGGGGGGTAGATTCGAGTAAATTTAGCACGGACTAGATTTATCGTAATTGAGTTCTATCCAGTTTCCCCTCTAGAACCGGGGAAGAAAGTTGTGGTCTTTTTTACCTTTTGAACACTGCTTCTCGAAACACAAGAAACAAAGTAAAGCGAGCGCAAGTATAAAGACGACCGCTCCAGGTGTTGCATAAATGGGGCCATGGATTGATTTTTGAACTTCTTCCTTCCCAGCTTTCCTCCTCAACTCAAGAGCGAGATGAGACATCGCGCGGCCTTGACGTGCTTGGGCACCAGTGGCGATCAGTTCATCGAACGACGTTTCATCGGCAGATTGTTTCATCGACACGTGATGAACAAATCGTTTCGTCGACAGCTTAGATTAGATTTTTGTGTAGTAAGCTGCATCAGACTGGTTGTCGCGAAACGGCGTGCATGGGTCGGCGTTAACATTTTTCTAAAGAGCCTCCGGAGACTGTCGATGCGAAGTGGCATGAACGCAGGCGGAAAGGGGAGGAGGATGTTAACGCGCACCGCAGTGATAAACGCGTGACGAAATGTCCCTACAGCGTGCAGTTCGCGTAACGAGTGCCGATGAAACGAACGTTCGTGTCGACGAAACGTGTTTCCATGGAACGTGTGTCCATGAAAAGTTGTCTACGAAACGAGTTTCGACGTAACTATAGGGACCCCTCGGGCACCGGTACGATGTCGCGAAGCTTCGACCGTCACCATGGAACAACGGCACTCGTTGGCCACGGCCGCGAATTCAAATATTCGTCGACGGATTGATTGTTGACGAGCGTTTACGTCCGAGCGACGCAGTGCTCGTGTCCAATGCGTGAGCTGGGGTAAGCTGACGAGCTTTGGGTACCGCGGATGTATCTCAGTGAAAAGCCCGAGAGCTTTCGAACGAAAGGAGGTACGAAATAGTCAGCTAGCTATATTTTCATATTCCCGTACCGAAAACCAGGCTGTTGACTTTCTACCTTCTTTCGTTTCGCCCACAAAACGATATACGATTAGTAAGATTCCAACCTAAAATTATTTATCCCAGCCCAAAATTCATTTCATGTGTGGTACTCTTGGCGATTTATTTATTTATTTATTTATCTATTTACATACCCTCAAGGCCCTAGGGGCCTTACAGAGGGGAGTGAGTGAAAAAAACCAACAACAACAAACAGGAATAGAGGACATGATAGGTCACGGGTCACGTTCGCAAAAATAACTAGTAGCAGCACTTTTAAAAACACCTACCGAGGGTAATAATATTAATGACGCCGGAAGTTGGTTCCACTCTCATTATGTCCTAGGAATGAAAGAATTGTGATAGGCTGAGGTTCGAGAATGAGGAACGCCCACTTTGTACTGATGATCAATGCGTGGAGAAACGGAAGGTGGGACGAGGAAGAGCTTCTCTTTCAGAATGGGGTTAGAATTGTAATATTTTATAGAAAAGACATAGAACGAGAACACTTACGGCGCAAAGAAAGCCGTGGCAAGGAGAGAAGAGATTTCATGGATGATACACTAGCTGTCCGGTGATAATTGTTAAGTATGAAACGAGCGCCGGCGGTTCTGAACTGACTTGAGATGAGAAGTGAGCGTCGTCTGACCAGGATCCCAGATTTAAGCTGCATACTCTAATTTTGAGCGAACCAAAGATTTGAATAATATTCGCCCTTTTTCAATCTTGACTGCGAAGCAAATCACTATGGGCGTCCAAATAGCGATTTTCTACCGTGCCCTCCCAGGCAGTTAAAACGGACAAATAGAACTAACTGTTCATTAAAACATACTTTTGTTTTATTTCAAACAAAAACGTAAGAGGGTAAAAAAAGTATAACTCCTGAATCTCAATTTAACGATAAAAAGAATGATGCGTGCCCAGTTTGAAAAATAAATAAAGCCCCAATTTTTGCCATGTTGCAACTTAACCCGAGAGTGGCTTATGAAAAAAAACCAAAACTAGGATATGAAGAAAGCATTTTTTTCCCCAAATTTCACGCGTCAAATAAAAATTTAAAAAAAAAGAGAAGGAATTGGAGAACTTTTTTGCGAACTTAATATGAGCTCAGTCAATAATGACGCCTTTGCTACGCGTTCGGCTCCGGGCTTTCGAAGAGACGCAGGGTGGAGCCCTGTAACTTATTTCGGCCAGGCGCGTATTGCGATGACTTCCGTAACCATCGGTCGACGCTCGCTTATGGTCGGTTTAGGCTCCCTTAGCTGCTAGGATTTGAGAAAACCGGTTCCCCCAAGAGCGTCCGCCTTGCGCCGCGTCAAAGGGGTCCCCCCCACCAACGAGACGGCCAACTGCCCAGCGCGCGGCTTGGCAGAGCGTCAAATGCCTGCCAAAACTTTCCCAGGTTTGCAATCCGCACGACGCCGAGCGAGTCGGGAAATTGTGACGGGACCCGACCAGCCGCGACGGAGGTCCGCGGATGCGATGCCCGGCTAGCTTTGACGGCTCGCGACTGTTCTAGTCCTTAGGATTGGTCTTCGTTCTGCTTGTGTGGCAAGGCTTTCCTTTGCCGGTCCGACCATCTTCAAGTTGCGTGCTCGAGTAGTCCCGATGACGCGTCTGGCAGAATTTCGTGCGCTCGGATCCCGTTTCGGTTGTGTATCGCTGCGGTTGCCAAATCCTCCTCTCAACGACAAGGTATGATGGTTTCCCAGCTTCTTTTGTGTAGTTTCGTACAGAAGTCGCTCGCTTTGCTTTTTTATTCTTATTTCTTTCGGACATTCGTTAATCGTGACAGCAAATCGCGTTTGGCTCGTCTGCTAAGCTTTCGCTTCGTTTATGAATTAAACTTAAAATTCAACCGGCAAAAAAGAAAAAAAGTAATAATAATTGTAGAAACACACAAACCACTCATAAAACGGTGCTTATTATTTTTTTATTTTATTTATATATATATATATATTCTTTTCTTTTTTTTTTTTTTTTTGTGCAAAGACGTGGTTAAGAGACACTTTACTAGAAATTACTGTTTTGTTTGCGTATGCCGCTTGTTGATGTTCGTATCATTTTCTCGGTTGAGTTTTTTCAAATGTGAACGTTTCATAAAAGCGTGCGCGTGCACAGCTTTGATCGGTGCTGAAGGTGCCCGAGCGCCAGTTGGCCTCACGTGCGCACGTGCATTCCGGCGCGCTCATACGGGCGGCCGAGCCACCAAAGAGGTAAAGAGGAGAGTCTTCAAATGCCAACTGGAGAGGTCCAAAAAACAGAGCGCACGAAAACAGGCGAGAGACGCCGGACTCAGCACCGCTTTTCTTTTCGTTGCTCTTTCGAAAATAATGAGCGTCATCGACTACGCCGGGAGACTTTTCGCATGCCTCCACACTTTTTTGTTCGCTTTTTGTCCAACTTTTCCTTTTAATCCGGCGCCTTTTTGCTGCTCCTCTTTTGTTGTTTTTTCCAGCGGAGCGGACGTGACGTTTTCCAGAGTTCCGTTTTTCCGGTAGCCATGACGTCAGGGCAAGGGTGAAGACGAAACATGGCGGAGTGCTCCCTAGCCCGTTGCTCGCAGGAGCGACGCGTGTTTCGAAAGGAATTTCAGAGATGGAGCCGGGATATGCTATTTGTTGTAGGTAAGAACATCCAGCAATTGTCTCTCTCAGTGTTCATCCAAAAAATGTCGCCGTCTTGTGTGTCTGCTGCCGTGACGAGGAAACGTTTGTTTTGTAGGTCACCGAAATTTCGGCGATTGGGCTGTGGGACATCACTTACCGCGATGTTGCTAGGGTTAGGGGGGGGGGGCAGCCGTCCGGTACCTCGGACGGCTGCCTGTCCGACGAGCGCCGCTCATCCAATTTCGGACGTATACCTCGAAAAAAAGAACGCTCGGTAATATTGGATAAACCGGATCGGAGTTCTGATTTTTTTTTTTTTTTTTCTGCCTCCTTACTGGCGTGTTTCTTGAGGGATCACACTTTTCCGGTGCGAAAAAGAAGACCGATTTTTGATTCATTCGAGCGCCGGCCACACTAGCGTCGCCGTGTCACAGCGTCGCTCGGTCCAACTTTCGCGGCACAGTGTTCACCGGCAGCCTGGCCAAGTTCCGATGATCGGTTCAACAAGTAGCTTTCACGCAATTTGCCCGGGCCCAGGCCATCCCCGATGTGCGGCCAGAAGCGGAACTTTTCATGCTTGGCTTCTCGCCGCGTTCCGTCGGTTCTGTTTTGGGCGTCTCTGTCTTCTGCCTACTGCTTACAGGCGTTTCGTTTTCACAATCTGTCAAATGGACTTTCGCTGCCGTACTGGTGTCTGTTTGAAGCTGATCGCGGGCCGCAAACCACCACCGGACGAAAACCGTTCCGGTATCGAATGCCCGCATTTCTCCGCTCTTTTTCGTTGTTTTTTTTTACCCGGTCTGCTTTGTTTATCTAGATTTCGGCAGTCGTCTTTTTCAATCTCGCTTTTTATTATTTTTAGAGGAGAGACAATCCGCTTCCTTATTTCGCGTTTGGGGTCCGTGGTTGTGGGGAGGCTCGCGGCAGTGATCGGACGGGCCTCGTCGTATCTGGTTGTACGCCGATAATGGGGGGGAAAAAAGAAAAGCAAAACGTATCGCGATGCATTCGTTTCCATATGATTTTGGCAAGTTGCCTGAAAATGTCGATTGAATTAGATAAAAAAAGTTTGAAGCGACCTGTGGTCGCATGTCGGCTATCGCGCTTTAGAAACGGTGGAGGAGGTGAACAGAAAGTTGGGGCGCAAACGAGCTGGTGATGGTTTAACGCCGTACACATCCCCGAGACTTGGGAGAACGATGGACGACACAGAAGTCAAACACATGATAGTAACTTTGGCCAGAACTGCCACCTGTTGTCTACGCAACTTAGAAAAGTAAAAACGTAGAACAATGGAGCTGTCAATTTTATGTCTTCTCGATGTTTAATCTTGTGCGTTTTTGCGCGGATTCCCCTCTGACGGGCAATGCATGTGCTGGAACTGTTTAGTACATATTACAAGCAAACGAATAAGAAAAGGAAATTAAAGGGCAGCTGGAAGAACTATACAGACGCTCTGTTTAGTTCTTCCAACTTGTCTACTGAGGGACAGCATATATTTTTCCGTGTGTGCAGTAGACATTCCTGGTGCACCACATGTCATGTTTGCATAAATCTTTTTCATCTGACTTCCCCTGAAATTCGTTATATTATATCATACCTCTCTGCCAACATCTTCGAAACTGAATCTCTGATGCGGGACACTCTTTTTTAGTACTCTGCCTGTGCCACTGGCTTCCATTAGTTTATAACAAGCTTTAGCATTTTTTTTTCTTCGTAAACTAAATCTTCAAGAAATTAAAAATTGGAACTTTTAAAATACCGTGCAACTTCTTTGGCAAAGTTTGTTTCTTCAGGAAAAATGTTTGCTACATGATTATCTTCTGTATATAAGCACCTGAAGTGACCATAGCAGTATTGAAAGCATACTTTCCACTTAACAGCCCTGTTCCACTCTGTTCATGTCTGCTCAATTGGCCTTCACCAAAGAGAGGTTGTGCTAGAGTTGGGAAAACTGTGTCTCCATTCCTGTAACGGAGAAACTGCATCGCAGGCAGGGGCCATGGTTTTTTCCCCTGCCCTTCAGCCTTTGCACGAGCGTGGCGTGATTCATGTGTAGCAGCATGCATAGAGGCGCTTACAAGCAGATTTCCTTCTTCCAAATGTTTGCAAAATTTGATAACGGCTGCCTGCAGGCTGCCTGATGAGTTGCTCGCACGCTTCGGCATGTGAGCCGGCAGATGAACAACATCCCGGGCGGGCTGTCCGCTTTGGCTGCTCGCCACTACGCAAAGCGAGTCCCAAGGCTGGGGCTGTGGACACGTTCGAACATTAGGGAACCCTGGCTCGGCAGGGATTGTTAAAGCATTACGCTGACTTGCTTGGCTTGCTCTGTCATTTGCAGGGCTGGAGCGGGTTGCGGAAGAAATGATGGGGTCCAGACGATGGAGGAAAGTAACACAACTCGAAAACGGTAACCGGACTCTGCTGGGGCCTCATTTTTTTTTATGTCGTGCACCTACCGTCGGTGTCTGGTCCCCTCTCCTTAACCTTGAATTCACCTCCTTAATTTACAGCCTTAGAACAAGAGTTAGAAGTGACAGATTGGGAACCGGACCAAGTTTGTTATTTTTGCAACTCCAAACGGATGCCGCCATACGTGAGTCCCCACATTTTTTCTCGTCTCCAGTTAACCCGTTTGTGCGTCTGAGGGGTGTAAACTGGCACACCTTTCGATTTGCCCGGGTTCTGACGCTCTCTCAAAACCATTGTTTTCAGGATCCTGCAGGTGGTCTTCTACCTGAGGGCTATAGTAGTTTTAAAAGTTTCAAAATGGACATAGATGAACAATCAACATGCTCCGATCAGGGGAATGGATCAGGTAATTTCTTTTGTTGTGCCATCTCTCACTTTTACTGGGAGATCTCAGGATCACATTGTTGACTGCGAAGTGTATTCTTGGACATGTTGCACTTCGTAGCAAGATTCTGCGCTTGCGTGTCCGTTTCAAGCGTTTACGCCCGAGAAGACAGCATTGCATTTCGTTAACTGAGCCCAGGTGAGTTTGAACTTTGATTTTTCTCATAGCACCATCTTAACTGCCTGCATTAGTGCTTTTGTGGGGTCTCTTACTAGAGTAGTTTGGTGCAGAGAGATTTTAGTGCATTTCATCTATGGTGTTCGAAATTGTCTAAATTGCTTCCTGCATAAACCCTTTTTTTGACTCTCTGGTATAGCGGAGATGGAGCATAGTTAAAGCCCGACGTATAAAAAGTTTTTCCACAAGGTACGGAGATCCTCCTCGCCACCCTTCCCTCTCCCACTGCTACCTTGACTGCAGGGTGCTCCTTTTGTTGCTGCACCTTGGGGCTGGATAAGCCCGGATCTTATCCCTGCTTATCCAGCCCTAAGGTGGAGCAACAAAAGGAGTCCCCGCCATCAAGATAGCACTGGGAGAGGGGGAAATAGCAAAGGTGGTGAGGAGGATTTCCTTACCCTACTGAAAAACTTTTTGTAGGTTGAGCTTTAACGTACTAAAGGGGTGACTTTCTAAGGTGGGGATGTGTTCACACTTGGTGTAGCTCTAGTGGGAAGTGACTCAGTAAGCTGTGGTATCCTGTTGAAGCATGCAGCAGAATAAAATTTCTTTGATGTCACATTTCAGATATGATGACGTCGCATGTGGTGTCGAAGTTTTCTGTGCTCATCTTTAACTCCTCTTTCCTACAATGTCACTAATGGAATGAAGCATGGATTGAAATCTTCGAGTCCTCTTCTTAAAAAATAGTTTTGGTGCATGACAACCTTGTGGCGATTGTTCGTACTAACCACGGAATGGATAAAGGTACTCTCTTAATGGGGACGAAAAAAGCTATGGACGCCTCCAGAAATGTCTTGACAAGCCTAAATGAGAAACTGAAAAGGTAGAGGGATGGAATTGTAGCTGAAACTAGCTTTTACTTATTTCGACATATTTTTAAGAGTAATTTGACAGTACATAGCTTTCACACAAACAGCCTGTGACTGGGTTCTTGCATCCCACCTGTTTCAGTTATAAGGAATGTTATTACATGCGACACTACAGGTGTCAACATGCCGTGCCAGTTCACTCGTTAACCCTATGTGATCAGTGGTTCTCTGTCGGGATTTGTATGTTCTCTCTTTCACAATTATTATTGCCTTGTCCAACATGGAAATAAACTTGTGTATCTGCGTGTTTCTCTGTCATGTTGAACTAGTCCATGGAACCTGCAGAATGTGTATGACTAACAATGTACCTGGTATTCCTCCCCTCTCCTGTGTCGTTTTGGCCTCTGTTGGAGAAAAGCATGTGGTTTTGAGGGTTATCAGTTGTCAGATATAGCTTTTACAAAGTGTTTGTCAGTTGTTTGCTATTATGTGTCCAACAGAGCTGGTGACAAGTGTCTGTGCAACCTGCATTTACTAGATTGCACGGTCACTGTTACGCACGTTCACATGCTCCTGTGTAGTGCCACACATGTTCAGACAATCTCTGAAGGTGTTGGCACCATGAAAACTCCTGTGGTGGTGAAAAGTGGAAATCACTAGCAAGTGACTGATCAGGTAGACTGCAAGTGCCATCGAATCTATGCAGTCTGGCTAATCGTGATCATGCATGGCGGGTTTCCACTGCTATGTTTTATGACATTCCTGGATGAAGTTTATAGTCTTGATAGTGAACAAATGTATTGTAGGCTTTCAGTTCAATGTTTTAGAGATAAGGCTACAGTGCAATCCATTTATAACGATACCACATATAACGATGTACTGCTTATAGCAATCAGTTTCTAGACTAGAAACAATCAGCTTTTAGTCCAGATACAGTGATCAAAATTTCTGGTTTTTTTGTTATCGTTATAAGTGGATTGCACTGTATTATAATGGCATTGTAGCCTTGATAGGGAATTGATATATTGCAGGCTTTCAGTTCTGTATTCAAGAGATAATGACTGCTGAAGTCATGTGTTTTATTGCTGGCTGTGCTTGACCAAAGTGCTTTTTAGCAGTCTTTATGCTTGGCTGAAAAAGGTTTGATGCACGGGTTGCTACAAAAGTACAGCCGAGTAGAAAGTCTAAAACGAGGCGGAGGTACTTTGGAAGTGGTGTCATTGGGGAGTTTAAGTAGATTGCTTTTTGCATCCCTATAATGATACTATGCTCTGCCAGCGGCTTTGCGCATGCATCATATCATCAGCTAGAGTTGTGGGAACTCAAGAACAATTTTCTCACACTCCCTATCGTGTACAAATGCAGCTGCACAGCCAGCCCAAATTGTCAGATTGCAGGTTTCTTGCAAGATTCCTGCACGTCTAAAATGGCCATTGAAACAATTGGTTGGTTTAACCAGCTGACGTGAGGCACAAACGTAGGGCTCTGAACAAAAAAGGCATATCCCTTGTGATTTTAAACTCGTGCAGTGATTCTGGAAAAAGGCAGCTCTGCCAATAATATCGAGAAGCCAGACATGCTAAATTGAATTAATGTTCCTAAAGCAACGCATGCCGCTCTACACGTAGGTTAAAAGAGAGACCTCGTCTTGGAAATTGCTTCTTTATGGGATATGCCCACCTGGCTCTCGGACCCTTCTATTATTTGCTGTCCAGTTGTGCATAATGTGCAGCCGAGTGTCAACCCTGCATTTGGGCAAACTCTTTGATGTATATGTGCTTTCCGCATTGCTCGACGTCGTCTTTTTTCTTCCTCGGTATGTGGTATGGTAGCCAAGTTGTGCACAAGAACCATCTGCTGGTGTATGCTCGTAACCTGCATCTCTCGTGAATGCCATCAAACGTGTACAGAAAGCAACACGGTACAAACGAGTGATCTGAGGTTTTTCTGTTTTCCTTTCGCACTAGTGATAATTTTGGTGACGTTCGAAAGGCTGTCGTCAAAACCATTAGTGTTGTGCTCATCCTGGCCACTAAATTAGGTGCTAAAATTTTCTGTTTGCAGGCACCCTTTCCGAAAGAAAAAAAAAGAGTGAAAAAGTGTTGACATCGTGTTATTGAAAACTGTGTTGTGCAGTGTATTTAGAACAAAACATACCTTGCTTTTTTTTCTTTGCATCTTGTTGTAATTATTTGATGCCTAGACGTGTGAGGCAGTGTGACTGATACAGGCTCTTGTTGATGTCCCTCTAGTATCTTGGAATGTTTGTCACGGGGTTGACCTGTGTGCGGAACCCGCCTCTCCATCTGTTTCCGACGACCAACCTCTCGACTTGAGTGTGCACTCACATAAGCATCATCCGCCAGAAATTGAGGATGTGCCAGACGGTGTGGACCAACTGTTGAAGGTGCCCAACGTTCCATCCAAGCTTGGGTGAGTGGTTGCCCATACTGGGTCTTGCAGACACTCACAAGTTGTGTCCACTTTTTGGCAGCTGTCATGAGATGTGGTAGGAACTGTGGCGTCTGAACTCCCCAGTTAGCTCGGGTCCAGAAGGATCCCGAACTAGCTATGGTTCTGATGTCATCAGTTTTTGCACTCACTAGTGATACCAGTATTGTTACGATAGCATTATTTTGAGCATGTTAGAGCAAGCTTGTGATAGGTGCTCACTTTGTGGTATAGTTCTTATTTTCGAAGCCTGCGTGATTTGCATGAAGAGAGAACTCAAAGGTAAGAAGCTGAGCTTGAGCTGAGCTCTCATCTTTTGTGAGCTCAGATTGAGTAAATGTGTCATGTTAAAGTAATGTCACATGGTCAAACATATGTTCTGCGCACCTTTCAAGTCCAAAAACAAGCACGAAGAGAGTCAAAGCTGTTAGGAAGGACTTGAAAAAGGAGTCAATGTTGACTGGTAGGAAATATGGGTTCACATGCATGAAGCAATGGAGAGTTGACTCACATACAGTCTGTTCGATTTGCCTGAGCTGGCTGAACTAGTTCAGCGGTGTAGGAACTGGCGCATTCAATTCAACCGAAATTTGCATGGCCGCTGCACTGGCGCATTCGATTCATCCCAGTTCTAAACGAGTTCAGACTCAGTTTCTCAAAACCTCGCACCGGCTCCGAAGTCAATTCTGCATCCGTGCAGAAGCAGATGACGAGAGCAGACGTCACTCTTCATCTGTCTTTGCTTATGGTGCCATTTCTCGGAGCTCTTGCTCAAACTTTCTTATGATTAGCATACACAATAGCGCCGAGACTGAAGTTACATTTCCTCTCATTGATGAAAATAAATGCCGCCCGTGGTGGATGCGAGAACAGAGGGCAGAAATGAGCTCACTTGTGATATTTTGAAAGCGTTTATGTGCCTGCTCGCGTCGGTTTGGCTCTTTGTGGTAAGTGTTGAAAGATTGGCTCGCGTTAATTGTTTCTTTTTGATGCTATGTTGATATTTACGATGTTGATATTCGTTTTGAAAGACACGGGACAGAAGTACGCTTGTATTAACTCCCTTCGTCAGCATCCTGGGGATGCAGTCTGACGACTCCGACACATCGCATGGAGAGGTCGGCAATTCGGTCATTGGCACTCGCGTGTCCACATAGCTGACCCCAATACGGCATGCTTTGTCCGCTGGCATCTGTGGTCATCCACTTGCGGGACCTGGGAAAAGACTCCTAGAATTGACATTTGTCTGGCACATCCATTTTAAAGTGAAAATAAACGGTGACGATCAGCAACTTTTTTGGCGACGGCGACGCTCTCGCCAGGCCTTCGTCCTCAAAGACCGCGGCCGCCAGTGATTCCGCACGCGGAATCATCCTGATGCCGCGTACTCGTCGTCAAAATACGGAGCTTGGTAGACTTGGAATTAACTTACTATTGCCAAATCAATGTAAGTCCTATCATGGCGTATGAAGTTAAAGGGCAGGAATGCTTATGAAATTGTCAGAATGTGGACGGTAATCGTTAAAAAAATGCAGACAAGATTGCATTTTGTTTTTAAAAGGTTTTTAGTGTATTTGAGTGAGGAGACATTCATAGAAAATATTCATTTACATATTTGAAAACAATATAGAGGCGAATGATCCCATCAAAATGCGAAGAAACATACCATATGTCGTGGTGGGGAGATACAAGACTTGGTGGCCCTTTAAAGGGATCATGAAATTATTTTCTGACTTCTTCCTCTTTAGTTTCCCTCCTCAATAAGCAAAATGAGAAATCACGGGGCCGACACTTTGCTCTTTTACTACAGGCCACTGGGGTTCCACTACAGAAGTTGATTGCAGCGCCAGTCCTAATGCGGTGGCTGCACTGGCTCTGCGCCGTTGCTGCACAACTCCTGCACTCCTCTGAACTCAGACTGAACCAATTCAGAACTTTCTGGCCAAATCGAACAGACTATTGAGTTAGCTTGAGCTGTTAAGGCAGTTTCTGAGGACAATACACATTCTTTCATTATGCGAGAGTGATAGAGACAAGAACAGATATGTGTGTGATCTAGTGCAATTTGCATTTTTGTGTTCAAATGTTTTCTGGGCCTTGCCATCGGCTCATGCTCCTGCAGCAGGGTGCATTGCTTGGGGTGTCCGCTCTGGCCTTGCATAGAGAGGTCAACTTACTGAGCCTGCTGAAGAGAGCAATTTTCAGGATTGTTTGCATTACATAGGGCTAGAACTTTATCTAAAGTTAACAATAACTGCTTGAAACCATGACATTACTCGTTACAGGCATAAATGGTCCGCAAGAGAGTGGTAGCTCATGGAATGGTGGACGTGCAGTGACACTCACTGCCATTTAGGGGCTCCATTTTATCGCTTAATTCTTTTTTTTTAATCACCAGCTTTTATTTGGGTAATATTGCGAGCTATAAAGCTTAGGGTAATGTGTTTGAATCCTGTCCGAGTGACTGGAAATCAATTGTGCCTCATTGCAGTGAAGGTGCCCTGTAGCTGATATTTCACTTGCACGTGAAAAACCCCCACTTGCCCATGAAAAATCCCCCGGTGGTCCTAGTTAATCCTCAGTTCTTCACCAGAACACACTAATGTAATTCTTTGCTTTGGCAGTGCCACAAGTCTCAAATTTCAAGATCGTGGGTTGAAATGTTTGCACTTTATCGTCACAGCTAGCATTTCCTTCGGATGTAATTTGTTTTCAAAAAGTTTTCTTCAGGTTCACTCGCCATTCTGCATTGACTCGAGGGATTGTTGTGCTGTTATCGAATGCTACTCTCTTGCTTCCCATTTCTCGTAAAGTGTGTGAATAGCCAACTAATCAGAATCTGGAGCAAGCTGGACGAATGGCCCAGAAAAGGTTTGTTCCCAAAAATGCAGTCTACACCGGACCTTGGTCACATAAAACACTGTGTCACAGCCGAGACAGCCTATTTGGGCGGGGACGTCATTTCTGCCCCGTCCCATTTCCTAAGTCACGACAGTTGGCTCTCCCGTAGCTCGTAGACGGCGTGCCATCATTGTAATAAATTGGGTAGTGCAGCAACAAGCGGGCGAGCACGAGGACACCCGAAGCTGTACACTGACACACTGTGTTGGGCGCAGCAGACGCCGCGGGGAGCACCTGAACTGCAAACGGTCGTACACGGAGGAAGAGCTGCAGGCTGCCCTGCGCGACATCCAGAGTGGCAAGCTGGGCACACGGCGTGCTGCCGTCATCTATGGCATTCCTCGCTCGACGCTACGGAACAAGGTGTATAAGCTGGCCCTGGAGCGGAGAACCGGACACTCTTCGGCCAAGGCGACGCCGAGCGAAGCGGCCGCCACCCTCGTGACAACGACCACGACAACAACGACGGTGAATGGGACCGGAGCCAAGGGGAGTTCGGCCAGCGAGTCGTTGCGACAGCTGCTCAAGTCGACCATCACGCAGAAGTCACTTGGCAAGGGGGGCGACAGGGAGCCCGCCAACAACTGTGCCGAACACGGTGGCCTGCTGGACGTGCCAGACGCCTCTCAGCTCCTCAGTTCGCTGGAGTGCACTCCGGCTTTGGGGCCACTGTTTGCGCAGGTAAGGCACTGCGCTACGAATGTCCCATTTGCTACGTTCCATTCTTTTTCGTGTAGTTGTCGCACGTTTCAGTGAGGCTCACTTATTCATTCTCCTTTTGGTCTGTCGGATGCTTCCCATGTTTTCATGCGGCCATGTTTCGCTGGGTCTTTGTGGTACATGGTGCTAGCCAAAGTGCACTCGCAGCTTTTTTTGCTCTTTATAGACTAGCAGAGTATTCGCGACTCCAACTAACTATAGGTGGCGCCACTCATTTTCCAAGATGGCGGGTTTAGTGAGGGTCAGAGATGCGTGCCGCTGTTGAGCCTGTCTAGTGTGCTGGCTTCACTGAGCGACATAAATTATTTCTGGTAATACGAGGAAGCTAATATTTTATGAGCGCAGGTCACCTCTTTAACCTGAAAACAAGAACGGTGTTTAGCGTATTATTTACGGAAGGATGCGCATTTTAATTCTGGAACGAAACCGAAACTTACCTCTATTTTGGATTTAATTTCTCGACAGATGTCTTAATTTCGGATTCTTTCATGACTCAAGATGTGTCTCACATCGTAATTATTTACTTAGAAAAGTTGTTCGCGGAAACTTTATTTTGTGACATACTGTTCGATCCAGGCTGATATTCGTCGTTGTTGAAAAAATCAGTGCTGATATCTGTGCGTTCTCGCTGCCTTTTTCTCGCTCAGATAATTGTCATGGGAAAATGACAATTATCCCAGCACAAGAATAAGAGAATAATTCCAATTTTTACAATATGTCCACGAAACGCATAAACTAATAAACACCGCTCTCACTGCAACAGCCCATGACGAAATCCGAGTCAGACAGCTGAAGTGTGTGTGTGTGTGTGTTTATAGCACCGCGTGACGCGTAGGACTTCATATTACATCCAGTGTTTGACTGTCTGTCTATCTTGATAACTATGTCAGAGTTTTTCATATGCTAAAAAGAAAACAGAATCATATCTTTCTGAAAAGACTATTATGGTTAAATAGCGTATTCTCGTGATCTTGGCGTTAATTGGCGCGATTTGTATTAATAATAATAATATTAAAATTCACATATTTGAATAAGTAATTATTCAAGCTCTAATATAATTTGTTGCTTATGATCGAATTTTAAATGCGCGAAGAAATATGACAATGAAAACTGTGCTAATTATCATCACTGGTTCCAATTGCTGCATTTTAATTACAAGCAAAATAAAAATAGTCTAAAATCAATGAAAACATTCTAGCTAATGGGAGAAATCCATGTAAAATTTCATTAATAATGGGTAAAGTATATTGTGCTATCAAAGTCGCGACTTTGGCAATCGGCGACACGTCCAAAGTCGCCGCCAATATACTTCCAGACCAAATGCCCAAAGTTAAAAAAAGGCTTTTTTTAATTACTAGTTTTTTCATAACATTTATTTACTTTTGTATTTACTCGCCGTCGTTTTGCCAATCTCAGCCTTTCCAGTTCGAAGGAACGCCTACCTGCTTGCACGTCTGCTCACTGCAGCACGTTTCGTTGGCATTGGAAGCCGGTGAAACAGTAGTGAGTTTTAATATTGCGCATACGAGCAAACTCAAGCCCTGCGCGTTTGCGTTAGCTTTGCGCGTTCCACACTGCGCGTGCGCGGAGCCCGAAATTGCGGTCTTGGATGGCGCATGGCGATGAGGCTCACTCACAACGTGGGGCACGGAACTCTAACGCAAACGCACACCGCTTGCGTTTGCTTCTATGCGCAATACTAAAACTCTCCAGTAAGGTACAATCCCATACCGGCTGCAGCACTACGTTGGGACAGTGAAGAGTGTTGTTTGCCTTCGGAAACGACATTTCGCGAGCCATGATCGCGAGCAGTTCCGCCATGCCCGCTGAGCAGGAGAATCGGGGGACCCTCACTAGAGCGTTTCCCGTTTCCGCCGCGGGAGGGCGAACGTCGAGCTGGAGACGCGAATAGGTACTGCTGGCATCCATAGCTGTAATTTAATTAATTAAAAGAATGTTAGTTATGGCACTTAGTTACAATTTTATTGATTAAATACATGTTGCAACATTTCAGTAATTGAAACTAGGTTACCCTTTTGGAGTAACTTGGGACTTGGTTCATGTACAGTTAGTTCTCAAAATTATCTTGCCGAATACTATAAACAACTTCAATTTCACATGCTCAGTATTTTATGAAGTAAGGCTTTAGGGGAGATTTCACAGGCACCAAATTTCACAATTAAAAAAGGTGTGCTATGTATTCGTGACTACGAGGTTATGTGTACGCATTATCAGCCTTTCTGTTTTTCTAATCGCAAACTTTGTGAAAATTGAGCGCTAAAATTATATGTTGCTTACAGTATGCAAGTTTAGATGGATTTAGTATCAACATCAGTGGTACGTTTTGTGACTGCTTCAAATTCTGCCATAAACCGAGTTCTGCCTCGCATCTGAACTATCCGTCAGCTATTACAGCATGTCTTGATCTCATTAGTTATTGGAATATGACTGATACCTCTGCCGCACAGTAAAATTTAATGTCATTTTTATTTAATGACTATCTGATTGGCCAGCCAGCGTGCACCACTCCTGGCACAGCGCAGTGCATGGGGGACACCTATGATCAGTATTGAAAGCTGATTAACTGATCACTTAATGGGATTCCACTGAAATTTAATTAAATTTTGTCGTGTGGCAAGGGTATTACGGTAGTTACTTTTTCCAAGTAACTGTATTAGATCCTTTTGTAAAAATCTAACTGTATTTCTAACTTAATTTTATTTTGGCTCAAGTAAGTAACTAAAACTCCTTTACTTTTAAAGAGTAACTTTTACAGCTCTCCTGACCTCCAAACATGATCTCTGCCTATCTTTGTGATTGACAAAACTGTGCCAGCAGATAACCACTCATTACATTGTATTTCACATCCTGCTTGTGTTTTGAAGTGCTGATGGAGTAGAGTTCAGGACATTTATGGGGGCTCTTTACGTCATTCTAAATTATTGGAATAATACCTAAAACATAAATGAGCTTGTACTCTTCATTCTGATCTGAATGTCTTTCTTTTGTCCTCCACTCCTCGAAACAACTTTTTTTTTTTTTTTTTTTTTTTATTTCTTGTACTAGAGACTTAGCCATTGATATAGTTTTTCATGCAGATCCCAAATATGTATTTAGTTTTCATTTAACTATAGTTATGGAGATATGTAATATACAATGCAAAAAGTGGCACTTTTTCCGGGAACTTTTGGATGTACTAAATTTACAAGAAAAGTATCGCGCTGTATCTTATTTGGCTCTTGGGAGATTACAGGGTGTTGATATCGAGCCACACTTTGCACAAAAATACTAGAACTATGCAAAAAAAGTGTACTGGCATGAGTGTTTCTTAAGTATACCCGCACATGCAGTACTACTGACCAAAAGCTTCTTTTTTTGCGGTGTAATTTCAAGCATAAAGGCGGACTTCTTTTCTTTTCAGTCTCTCCTTTGCATAATTTGATGACGTAGTCATGCGGATTGCAGTGTCAGCATAAGCACGAGGATTACCCCGTAGTGAGGATAGTCAAATGTGGCTCATATGTTGAGCACAAGCACTGCTTGCACTCGATTTGGGCTCGTGGCACTCAACGCTTCAACAAACATTCGTCACTAGGACGAACAATGGCGGCATATTATCGGCCCCAGATCACGTGGCCTCTTGTTCTGCTTGTGAGTTGAGGAGGTGGAGGCTGCTCGTTTTTTACCAGTCCTTTCTGCAACTGCCGCCGATGATTAATTTTAAGCTGCGTCTACTGAAAGTACAAAAAATAGTTGCACCGCCCCTTTAGCAGTCTTGGGGCCCTAATCTATGCGGCAGGACCAAGCGGGACCAAGGAATTGGGACATCGCCGTCTGCTGCAGTTGGCCAGATCCGCACTGCTCACCAATCACGGCAGGCGGCGACGTACCGGTACCGCTTGGTCCCACCGTGTTGGCTAGGGAGGACCCTTGGGTAATTGTAACAGGAGAAAGAGTAACAGTCCCAACTTTTAATTGAGTAGCATTTATAGTTGAGATTGTTATGACGCAGGGAATGTGTGTCTGTGGCGTGTAGCTTAATGACGTCTCAATGTCGCGTGACATTATAGTTTCATGTGCCACTATCGCTTGACTCTGACATCATGAGACGACATCATATGAAATTGTGACATCACGTAACACTAGCATCACGTGCCACGTGCCTTTAGTCAGGGTTTTCCTGTTGTTTTCTTTTTTTACTTGTTACATAGCGAGGGGTACATATATAGTGGGCTAATCGTCATAATAATTCTGATAATTAACTAAAATTGTTAATTACTGTTTTAAATATTGAAAATAAACATGCACTAGTCTTTGATTAATTCAAACTCCAGGAAGCCACAAATTTTGTTTGAGTTATAACCAATTCACTTAAATATGTTGCAAGATAAATTATGATTTGCTCTGCATGGCTACTCATACAACACATATTTGATGATTTCCTGTGCACAGGCCTACTAATCATAAGCGAGTATTCTACTCATGAAACATGGGTGAAATTTATGACCTAAGTTTATTCATCCCTCAAAAATGTTGCTTATTGTGGACTGTTTGGACAGCACATGACACCTCAAAACAAAATTAAGTTTCTTCATCCAGCAAAACAAAAAGTTGTCTATTGTGGACAGGGGACACATGAGCAATGAAAACAGGCATCGAGCGGCCGTTTCCATGGCAACTTGCACAGACGCTGTGACACGGACTTCTGCCATGCCTCGACTTCGCAGCGTCAGCATAAGATGCTGTGGGAACTGCTGCGCAGCGCCCATTTTTGTCGCTCATGTGTCCTCTGCTTTAGCACCACTGAGCACGCCTCTTGCCGAGCACCGGTGCACTGCAGAGAAGCAACAGCCGCGGAAGCGAGCTCTGCCAGTGTTGCTCCTTAGCAGTGCACCGGTGCTTGGAAAGAAGTGCACTTCAACAGGGCCGCAAGAACAAAAAGTATGATTAATGAAAAAACA